TGCTGTGCAGATGAAAAGTTTTGGCTTTAAATGCATTAAATAGAAAATAAGAAAGACTGTAAGTAGTCTTGGCTTTCAAGAAATTGTAGAAGAGGAACAATTAAATAAATCAAAAAGAGATAGAAGGATTAAATTAATAAAGGGAAAAGCAAAAATTGATGACATAAGAAACATAGGAATAAACAAAACTGATGAGTTTAAACTGAACTGATCAACCAAACTGATTCTTGAAAAAGACCAAAAAAGAAAACAAATCTTTAAAAAAACTTAGGCTAGGGGGAAAAAAAGAAAGAGAAATAACAACAGTAGGAACCTAGCTACAGACAAGATTAAAAAAAAAAGTAAAGAAGAAGAGGAGCCCTGGCTGATGTGGTTCTTTGGTTGGAACATTGTCCCATAAATCAAAAGGCTGCAGGTTTGATCCCCAGTCAGGGCGAATGTAGGAGGCAACCGACAGATGTTTCTCTGTCACATTGATGTTTCTCTCTCTCTTTCCCTTCCTCTCTCTCTATAAGCAATGAAAAATGTCCTTGTGTGAGAATACTAAAAAAAAAAGAGGAGGAAGAAAAAGAAAGGAAAAAATAGTATTTAAATTTTTAAATTGAAAGTTTAAATGAAAGAAATGATTTTCTTCCTATGGAAATAGAAATGATCAAAGTTGACTCAAGAGGAAGTAGAAAAACATCAAGAGATCAATACTCAAAGAAGAAATGGGAAAGGCTATACTTAAATAAAACACCCAAACATTTCTATAAGTAAACATTACTAAATTTTCAAGGAGTCGTAGGTAAAAAATTTCTAGGATGACTAAACATTTTGATTTGCTTGGATCTGAGGCAGTTCCTGGGATGTGGGAATTTCAGTTTTAAAATTAGGAAAATCCTAGGACAAGTTGTTTATCCCACATGTTTCATGAATTGTATAGACAAATTAACATGACTTGTACCAAAATGGGACAAAGATAGTATAGGAGTATTAGAATCCAAGTTAAATATTAGCAAACTGAAGTTTAAAAAAAGAAGTAATTTAGAAAATGGAATTCATTTTTTAAAATATTCTGGAATTGATAAACGTTATCTTCGAGAAATACTGGAAACATCATGCTTCATATTGAGAAACACTAAAGTGTTCTCAGTATAGTAAGAAACAGACAATATGTTTGCTTAACATTGTTCAGGAGGTGTTAGTGAAGATAATGAGGACAAAGTATGCAAATATTGTAAAGGAAGGGACAAATTATACTTTGTAGAGAATATTGTCGTCCATGATAAAAAGCCAAACATTGAAGAACAAGCTATTACAATGCATAAATTTTTTTTTACCTAGGTGGCTGGGCAGAGTTTCTAATTACAAGTAATAACAAATTAAAATATATAGAAAAAAGGCCCTGGCTGGGTAGCTCAGTTGGTTAGAGTGTCGTCCCAATATGCCAAGGTTGTGGATTTGATCTCTGGTCAAGGTACCAATGAACGCATAAATACATGAAATAACGAATTGATCTCTCTCTCTCTCTTTCTCTCTCTGTCTTCCCCCCTTCATCTCTCTAAAATCAGTCAAAATATAAAGAAAAAAATAACTAATACTATTTGAGATTTTCAATATGACAGGTTCAATGCCTTAAACTTTTAAATGCATTTCATAATTTAATCTCAGAACAAGTCTATAAAGTAGGTCTACTGATGTTCTTGTTTTGCAAATGAGGAAACCAAAAGACCAAGTTGTGCACACAGGTGCAAATGGGGAAAACAGGAATTGAATCTAGGTATTTAATTCTAGACTTTTTTCTTCTTTCTTTAATAAGTTAATTCACCAAGCCAATATGTAAATTTAAGATTATTGGGGTTAAGAACAACTACACGTGCCCCTGGGTCCCCACTCTTTCTTCCATTGGTGTAGAGTTGCAGCTGATAAGTGGTTGCTCAGCCAGAAAATTTACCAGAGTCCCTTACATCTAGATGGGGCCAGGTAACTAATTTTGCTAATGAAATCAATCAGAAACAATGCGTGTCACTTCTTGGTCAAGGTGGCTAAGGCAGGACATCTTCTCCACCCTCTTGGAATCTTTGCGCTGGCTGGCTGTCAATGGCCAGGGCAATCTTAAATCTAGTGTTGCGTGGTAAAGCCTTTCTTACCTGTGGACCTTGAATGACTATTTGCAATAGAGTCTGTTATATAAGACAAAAACAAACAAACAAACAAACTTCACTGTGTTAAGCCACTGAAATTTGGAGTTATTTTCTACAGCAGCTCACGTTATCCTAACTAATGCAAATTAATAAGAAATGTTCAAGATTTACATGAAGAAACTCTTAAAAGTATTTAGAAGAATTATGAAATCTGAATAAATATGAATATTTATGGCTGAGACACTGATTACTGCCAAGATGTAACTTCCCTCCTAAATATCTCTAATTTCAATATAATACTTTTTAAAGAATATATAATTTTATCTGGAAAATCACACTAAGAAGATAAAACAATATGCTTTGAAAGAGAATAATAAATGGTAGAGACTTCCTCTATCAGACAGCATATACCAAAGCCGATTATAAAATTATGATTAAATTGTAAATGACAGTGGTATATAAATTAACAAATAGGTCAATGAAACAGAACACATAGACCAGAAACAGACCCATGTACCACTGAAAATTTTGCATATGTCTAAGTTAGCATTTCAAATCAGGAAAGAATGGACAAATAGAAAAATATTGTTGAGACAATTAACCACCCATTTTGGAAAAAATAACTCTGGATGATTCTAACCTCACACTATTTGCAAAAATAAACAATAACAATGAAACAAACTACAGAAGATTATAGGAGAATCAATTTATATTCTTGGAATTAGGGAAAATCATAAAGAAAAATGTTTTAAAACCCTAAGAAAAATATTCACAAACTTGGTGACATTAAAATTAATATATCATGTATGCCAAGACACCATAAAGGAGAAAACACTTACTACGTATATAGTAAGCAAAAAGTTAATACACAGAACATAAAAGAACTCCTCCAAATTTATAAGAAAATGACAAATAATCCAGTAGAGGAATGGACAAAAGGAATATACACTGATATTTCACACATAAATATACGATAAGGTGCTCAGTCCCACTGTTAATTGGAGAAATGCACATTAAAACACTAACGGGATATAATTTATTGACCATGACGTTGGAAGAAGTTGAAAAGTTTATTAATATAAATTATTGGCCAGAGAGTGAAGAAATACCTATAATTGTATTTTTAATGATACAGCTTTAAGGGAGGGTATTTGGGTAATAGTGTTAAAATTTAAAAAACATGTACTCTTTGACTCAACGATTCTGCCTCTTGTCTATCTACCCTAGGAATTAATTCATTTGTATATACAAAGAACTATATAAGGTTTTTTATTGTTGCAGTATTGGTAATGAGAGAACTTGACAACAACTTAAATGCTCTCTGAAAGTGAACTACAAACACCTTGAAGCAGTAAAAAAGAATCGAGGGGCTCAACATGGACTGATATAGAAATAGATACCATATTTGGGATAAGATACAATATTAAGTTAAAAAGACAATACTTACAACACTATTTATAACGTGTGAAAAGAAAGAAAACTCACAAAATGAATATTTGTTTCTGCATGTATTTATACAATATGTATATGTGTGTAGAGGCCGAGATGAAGTTAGGAAGTAGGAGCACCAACCTGAGACAGCGAGAGCCTGCGGTGAGTGAGGAGATGGGCTGGTGGCAACAGGGACACCTTTCACAATGTGAATGGATTTGTGTATTTAATAGAATAAGTTAATAAATTAAATTAGAGAATATGTAAATGCTAATGCTTCAAACCCCAGAGATTTTTATTTGGATGGTTTGGTAGGAATTGGTGTTTTTAGACATCTTCCTGGGTGATTCTGAGACCACTGGCTTGAAGATCTATTTACTGGTTATTGTAGAGCCTATATTATAGTCTTTCATTTAACATCTTATGTGTTTTCTAAAATATATAATCCTTTATTAAAATACTGGCATGGTGCTTGCTTTGGCAGCATATGATATATACTAAAACTGGAATGATACAGAGAGGTTAGCATAGACCCTGTGCAAGGTAACATGCAAATTCAGGGAACATTCCATATATTCCTTAACATTGAAAATTTTCTGTCGTGTGTAATTTACCACAATTAAAGCAGTATAAATCATTTAATTAAAGCCATAGAGAAAGAGTATTAAGAGGGACTCAAATGTCATCAGTCTCTGTTTATATGAACATTGGTTTTTCGTTTTGTCTTTAGGAAAAGCGTAATTTTTCTCCTGTGTAATATTTTTAGGTGTGAGGCCCAGCACATGGAGTTCCCATGTCCCCTGTGCCATGTTAATGCGTACCACTTCTGCACTGTGTCACTCAGCTCCCATGAGTCTAGGCAGTATATATTCCAAAGAGAACTCCTTACTGATCTCATGGAAACATCCACTTACCCTTTGCTTCCCTACTCCATATTCTGTTCTGATGGGAACCAGAGAACAGGGAGAAAAGGCTCCAGTCCATGACCATGCCTGTGTAAAATGAACCATAAGAAGAACATCCATGTGAATAAGAAGCAGCTCAAAAGTTGATGCAGAATTATGGTTTTTTATTAAGGGGTGATGCCCTGGAGCCTGATACATAACTTATAATGTCCTCCAAATTCTGATTTCCAGCATACATCCCATCCCAGGAGGTTCAGATGAGAGGGCATTCAGATTGCGGGAATCTGCACAAAAGGAAACGTAGAATAGTTCTTGGTATGTCATAAATACACACACATGAATTATTATGGTTATGTCACATTTAGCCTGACCCAGTTGTGGCTGTTTTGCTCATAACGTTTGTCACATTCTGCACATTTAGACCCAGGAGAAGTAGGCACATCCTCTTGCGACCAGTGGGTGATGTCCCAGTTCACCTTTATATCCAGCCTTCCTGTCTGCTGATAGGCTTTGTCTTTTTTGGTTTTCCCACCCCTAGCTAGCAAGACAAGGACTCAACGTTGTGCTGATCAGCAGGACACTGGAAAAACTACAGGCTATTGCCATGGAGATTGGTGAGTGACTCCAAGGAATAAGGGGGATGTCTGTGGAGCCCACTGGTCAGATCTGTTCCACTCTGCCTGTTGATGCACCCTCAGCATCCCTTCATCTGTTCCCTGAGCCTGGGATGCAGGAGCTCAGTTTGCAAAGTTAAGCTAAGGCTGCTTAGCAGAGGCTTCAGTTCACCAGTGAGTCTTTGGGCTCGATGAAGCAGGATCGGACTCATGCACACATAGGTCTACTCTCTCCATGTCTAGATCTGGTGTCTTCATCTCTAGAATCGGACTCCTCATCCAGAGGCCCCAGCTTCCTGGCTACATCTGCCATTCCCTTCAAAAACAGATCTGTGTTTGAGACTTCACTTCCCTGTGTCTATGCTCTGCTCCTTGCAGGAGGGTGAGGGGTGATGATTAGTGGTCGTTGTAAGGTTTTAAAAAAAGATTTGATCCAGGGCTGCTCTGTATGGTTGTAAAGATTGTAGACTGTACAGTCCTAGGAGGCAGCATTCATATTACAAAGTTTTATTATTATGATCCTCCCTGAAGTGTTCTTAGTGAATAATGATCATAATGTCCTTTTTGGGTATTTGCATTTTAATGATTAATGATTAATTTAGAAATTAATAAACTCATTAACTCAAAGGAATAAATCTTTAATTATAAAAAGACTTGCAAAGACCATTGCAGGCTGTCTGGGAGACAGCTTTGTGTTCCCAGGAGAGATTAGGGTTAGGAGACAGATGTGGGAGGCCCAGGCTGAGCAATCACACCGTAAAGGCTCTGTGCCGTTAGTCCAATGAATTCTGCTTTTGTTTTATGACTGGATATCAGAAGTAACTTTGACCAGGATTAGGACATTCTTTAGTGTTCCTCTCACAATGTTGAAACTTGCTTTTTATTGTTATCTTGAAAAGCAAGTACTGTCTTTAGTCTGAAAGCATCCCCCACCCCCAAATTATGCCTCAAGATCACTTGCCACGGAAACACTGAGTCTGAATACAATGCTGAGCAGGCAGCAACTGGTGAAATCTGTCTGCTGCTTTCAGATCTGCCCGAACGCTCTTGCACACGCCAAGTCCATGTGGAAGAATGGAAGGAGCCTTGGCAGGGCGGGAGCAGAGTGTGTGTGCCCTTGGGCAAGGTAGACAGCGTCTCTGAGCCTAGCTTTCTCCTCTGGAAAGCGGGGGTGATATTTACTTTACACGGCTGTAGGGAGGATTAAAATAAGATATTGTCTACACAATTCTATTCTGAAGAATTGTGTAGAATTCATGCTTTATGAATTCTATAGTGTTGGACAAATGCAGAGGATTGCTGTGTCTATGAGGAGGGGCCCTGGCAGGGCACGGGCAGCATCACTCTTGGCCCTTACAGTTCTTAGTCCAGGGGTCTTGAAGTTGAGCATGCAACAGAGTCACCTGGAGTTCATGTGCAAACTGGTCACTGGGCCCACTCCCAGGTTTTTCTGGTTCGGGGCGGAGCCTGAGATTTTGTGTTTCTAACAAGTTGGCAGTGATGCTCCTGCTGAGAAGCACTGCATTAAATCTGTTGTAATGCATATACTTGTTACTATAGTGACTCTTAGACTCATACAGAAACCACCATTCACAAATCTTTTAGCACACCCCAGCATTTATCAGGGGCTATTTCTTTTTTCCAGTGGGGAGGCAGCTTTGTGCTCTTCAGTGTCTGCTCAGGTTGTGTGGGAGCACCAGGGGAGCTCCACAAGCAAAATCCTATCCTGTTCATTAAAGGATAACTATTGTTTCTAATGCAGAGTGGACTACAGGGAGAAGTGTGAGAATTATACAAGCAGATTTTACCAAGGATGACATCTATGAATATATTAAAGAAAAACTTAAAGGCTTAGAAATTGGAATTTTAGGTAAGTTGATTGCAAAATTCAAAGCTTGTTGTAATGCATCAATGAAATAATTATCTAGTGACACTTGAGTATTCCATGATGGCTTAAACTTAACTCATAACTGTATTTTAAGGTGTAGCATTAAACAAATATTAAATCCCAATTCTTCAAGAGGCATTACTGAATTAGTAGATTTCTATATTAGCTTTAGAACGTAACAGATTTACGCATTTCAACCTTCCCAACCATATTTCCTAATATTAAAATGAATTTTCTTTCACTGAACTGATATTGACACTTGACAGGAAGAGGGGTTCTCAGAAACATTGGCTTAAAGGAGCAAACATTGCTGTAATCGATCCATGAAATGGCAAGTAAATGTGGTTATTTGAGATTTGACTACCTTATACAGGAAACAAGAATATTTTTTCTGTTCTGATTTATAACCAAGCTATTTTGTAACTATATACACAGTACAGTGTTTGCATTATGCATAGAAGGAAGATATGATTTCTGAACTTCCTGCTGAATTTAAAAAATATGCCCTGTGTGGTTCAGTTGGTTGAGCATCATCCCCCAAAACAAAAGGATGTTGTTTTAATTCCTGGTCAGTGCACAAGTCTGGGTTGCAGGTCTAGTGGCCTGGTTGGGGTGTGAGAGGCAACCAATCAATGTTTCTCTCTCACTTTGATATTTTTCTCCCTCTTTTTCTCCCTACCTTCCCCTCTCTGTAAATAAATAAATAAAATATCAAAAAAATAATTACAGATTCTTTTTACTAATAAAAATGTAAAACATCATTGCAGAAAAACTGGAAAGAGTAGAGAAGCACATAAAAGAATTATGAATTTCTTAAAATCCTGACAGCCTGAATTAGCATTTTGGTGCATATCCTTCCAAATGCATAGTTTCACATATTTATATGCATTTTACATATTTACACATATTTTCAAAACTGGGATTAAATTTACTGTTTTGTAACATTTTAAGAAGCTATACATCACATAAGAGTTCCTACGTCTTTCACACATGACAACTCTAAGCGGTCGTAGCTGGGAAAGACTGCGCTGCTTCCCAGCATACGGCTATACCACAACGCACTCCATGTGCTGCCGTTGTCAGACCACAGTATTTCCCTCAAATTTCCTCACTGTTATCAAATCATGTTGCAATGAACAACCTTGTATAGGAATCTTTTTGTACATATTTCTTTAAAAAAAATTTTCCAAGAAAAGAATTTCTGGGTTGAATGTGATTATTTTTAAGACTTTCAATAAACATTTGCCACCGGCTCACCTGACATCTTTTTGCTTTGCCTCTCCCTGTCAGTCAACAATGTTGGAATGCTTCCAAGCCTTCTCCCGACAAATTTCCTTCATACACCAGGTGAAATCCAGGTATGTCTGTGCTTTCTGGGAATGATGTCCTCCCACCAGGTACTGGGCCTCCCAGCTGGACCACCTCCAGGGACTGGGAAGGGTTTCTGAATTCTAGCTGGATATCTGTGGGTTTCCCTTTCTTTTCATCTTAGTACTTGACACACAGTCAAGAGCACCGCTGTTCATGGCCCTCTCTAGAATATGGTCATCTTACCCCTTCTCTGCACATCAAAACTAACCTGCCTACTGTCCCAGTCTTTTGGGGGCTCTGTGTTCTGCTTTATAAGGGGTAGAACTGCCTGAAAAATTTACAGTTGTGTATGCAAATGGGAGAAGGCCAGCTCTTTGTTTGTTTGTCTTTTTCCTTTTTTATGTCTTTTCAGACATACAATTTGTTTAATTTTCAGTGTGAGAGATGTCAACGATACAGACTCTGTGGTTGGGGGTATTTTAAGTTCAGCAAGCTTGGCTCAGAACCATGGCTATCCTTGTTGGTCATGAGTAAATTTGTGATATATTTAGCAGTCCTTGAAGGTATTATTTGTTAAGTCTTCCCCAGGCCCTGACCTTCAAAGTCATGAGGTTATACCAGTTCTGAGCAGGTTGTCATGTTTCCATTCTGTGATTCTTCAGGTATTCCTATGTTCCTATGTAAACCCTTAGTCTATTGCATGGGAATGCCAGATTGTTTGGACGTCATTCCACATCCTTGCCAAACCCTTCTTTGCCATACCTCTAACCCCATGGTCCTTGTTTCTGGCATAAATATGTGTCTCCCCATTAAGCAGATTACATTCTTGCTTCTCTTTCTCTATGTCTGTATTTGTGCTAGTTTCTGTGTCTGTCTCTCTTTCCCTCTCTGTCTTGGGTGATTCTAGTAGTTTCATTATCTGGCCTCTGTAGCCCATAATCTCTGCCATGTATTCTACAATCATTTGCCTTTCTGTTCTCTATGTTGTTGTCTTCTAGACCCACATATGCTAACCTTTCTCCCTGCACCTAGAAATTAACAATCTCCCTTTGAAAAACTATGTCCATATTCCTCTTTAAATTTTAGAGGATACTTTTAGTTAACTTCTATTCAAGATCACACTTCACAGAAGCACACAGTATGGATGTCAGATCTTCCCTAGTTCTAGTGCATACTGGCTGAACATCAATCAGGAGCCTAATATGCCAGCTAGGCCAATGAGGAAACAGCTCAGACACATGCTTTGCCCGCTTTATGGTTTTGAAGCACTGACGACATCTCAAGAGAATTTCTGAAATGATCTGGCTGATTTGTGGTTATGATTATTTATTACAGAGCCTCATCCATTGTAACATCACCTCAGTGGTAAAGGTATGTGGTTAATGTATGTGCTAAATGCATTAAGAGGTAGCAGCTATTGGAATGTGACAACTCAGGAGAATTGGCCCCTTTCCTGTAGAAGGAGAATTCCCTGAAATTGAACTGCACTTGATTGAGAGGTCACGTAGTGGCCTTTTAATTGTCTTATTCTGTTTTCATCAAGTACGAAGATGAATTTATTCTCCCTAGTGTTTAAAACCTATCTCTGCATTCAGTTTTGTCAGATGTCAGAGCATATTAGACCTTATGATGCTGAAACTGATTCTGGATTTCAAGTGACTTTTAAAAAATTTCAATACTGTGCTCTGATTTTAATCTTGTAAATAGAGGAAAACTCACTCTGTTTGGAAAAAAGACAGAGGGTTTGGCGTGGATTTTATGGACTCTTGTTGTTTAATAAATATGAGGAGGGAACCCCCCCCCCAAAAAAGCCAGATTTATCTTCTGGAGGGTAGGTCCCTTGTAGTACAGGCCTCCTCCATGAGGTGGCTATTGTAAGAAGCCATCTATATCAGTGTACCAACAGGTATTGTTATGAGAGGATGCCTTCAGCTTCACTGAATTTTTTGTGAAGATTCTTTCAATGTGCTTGTCCATTTCACAAGGGGTGATTTATGAGCGCACCTGCCCACACTGCGCAGAGTGTTCAGCAGTTTTGACCAATAATGGTATGACCCCCGTGCCCCACCCTCCCTGTTCACCCGATCTCACCCCAAGTGACCTTTGTTTGTTTGTTTCCCCGGATGAAAAAAGTCCTCAAAGGGAAATGTTTTGCCAAAGTGGAAGAGGTGAAACAAAAACAGCAGAAGCATTAAAAGGCATCAAAATCAACAACTTCAAAAACTGTTCTGAGCAGTGGAAAAACGTCTTGATAACTATATTGCATCAAATGGAGAGTACTTTGAAGGTGATTGAAGTTTAGGCATGTCAGAATAAATACACGATTTTTTACAAATAAATTCTGGGCTTTTTGGGGTTGCCTCCCCTTGTATTTGTTGAACTGAAGTTCAACAAATGTATTTCTGATCCCAGCTCAGCTCCTAGTTAGTTGGACAGTATTGGGTGTGCTATTTAATTCCCTTGAATTTCAGATTCTTCATCTGTTATTAAAAGTGTTGGACTAAACTCTGGCCCATAGGGCTCAGTTGGTTGAAGTGTCGTCCTGTAAACTGGAAGGTTGTGGGAAAGTCAGGGCACATAGCCAGGTTTTGGGTTCAGTCCCTGGTTGGGGCAGGTATAAGAGGCAACTCATTGATTTTTTTTTCTCACATCAGTGTTTTTCTCCCTCTCTCTCTCCCTCCCTTCCCCTCTCTCTAAAATCAATAAGCCTGTCCTCAGGTGAGGGTTAAAAGAAAAAGTGTTGGACTAAGTGTTGTGTCAGGTACCATTTAGCATAAGAAATTACAGACATAACTACCACAAGGTTGTCCTATACTGTGCCTTTGATTGAATAAGAAAAAGGCACTGCTTTTGGGCAGACAGTTTGGGAAAGGGTGCTGCTTAAGAGTGGACACAACCCGCTGCTTGGTGAGTAGATGGTACTTTTATGTGAACACAATGTTTTCCTTTCCTCTGAATGGCGAGAGCCCTCTAAATGTCTCATGAGTGAACCTGGGGCTTTCATGCGAAGATTCTTAGCCCACAGCTGGGCACCTGGCTCAGTGCATAGAATTCTCAACTGCATGTGGGGACCATTCCATTAGGCCGGTGAACCTGCAGCAGTGAATCAGGTACGATCCCTGATTTCATGGATCTGGACCCTAGTTGGGGAGCAGTAGGAGGCTCAGTCTAATCATGAAAACATGGACTGGCAGTGGAGGGCTGCTTTCTCAAAGGAAAATCAGTTGCTTTCAACCTAAGGTGAGGGGATGGATGCTGAGAAGACCAAAAAACAGACATTTTTTTCCCCAGGGGTTAAGTTGGGCTGACAATTTTTTTTTTTTACACCATTGGTTGTTTTTCTATAAGCACACTAGTATTTTATAGTTTCCTGCTCAGTTTTTTTGATACACACATTCTTTTTTGCTGAGCAGTCAATGGCTTTTTAAAACTCCCAGTTGATGTAATTCTAAGTTTTATATGTCCAATTGTTGGCAGCCTTACCACTAAAGTCTCGCACATTATTTTACATGTTGATCTTTCAGTTTTGGTTCATTTGATCACAGGGCTTCCCAAATATATTTGATAAACTCTGACTCCTTTAGCAGAGAAATTTAATTTGCTAAAAAAAATATTTCATATATTGCTAGACACCAATTTCCCTAAAAACTGAGAAAACACAATGCAGGTTACGTTGTAAGTATGCCATCCCCGGTTGCCTGTGCTGGTTGGAGGCATGGCAAATGTCACTTTATTATTCCAAAAGAGCCATCTGGAAATAGGAGAGATCTCTGTCAAGGGCAGAGATGGGAGATGAGTTTGAGGGCAAAGGAAGGTGAGATCAGAGACTAAATATTGGGAGCTTTGTGACAGAGATTCACAAAGTCTGCTGTTATCTCTCTAATCGGCATTACTTGCCCAATGAGGCTAGTGAATTCATTTGGGAGACTGTAAGGATGTGCTCCATGGACACCCTCAACAAAGTTGGAAAAGCCAAGGAAGGGTGATGACACAATCTGGTCCTTAGCCTTCTCTCACCGCGTTTAAAATCCAGGATTTCAAGAGGCAGTTGCGCGGGTTCTAGGGAGCACCCTCCCCACCACTACCATGGCTGCCGCTGACCCAGCACAGTGAAAACATTGCTCTGGAGGCCCCTGCAGATGGGCTTAAGGGCCTGGCCTGTGAAACGGGAGCGGTGGCAGGGCTCCCAAGCAACATGGTGAAATAGGCAAAACTTGTCTTCTGACCCTCAGTCTTTTTTATTTCACTGCCTCTCTCTATCTGTTTGGTTCCTCTCTGTCTCAAGCCTGCTCCCCAGATAGGGCCTGAGTCTGTTTAAATGTACTTTTGAGAACATTTTGGTCCACACTGTTTCTTCTTCCTCAATTCTTAAAATATGTGCCTTATAATTATAATGTGCAAAGCTCTTTTCATGGGATATTTAAGCTCCAGAAGTTGCAGAGAAGATTTCTTTGAGGGCAGAAGTTTGGAAGGGGGAAGGGACTTCCTAATATTGGCATAATTCCAACAGACAGACAGACAGACACACACACACACACAGACAGACAGACAGACAGACATGTTCTGTTTAGGGAGATATTTCACAGACCACATGCAGGTTACTTATGCGGCTGCTGCTGAGTTGACAGATGTCCTTTTCCACCTCATCCTTTGTACTTGAGATGCTTATGGACACTTGTGTGGTTTCCCGATGGTCCCCTAATCCTAACTAACTCATGGCTGAGGTTTATGATGGCCAGCCTGCTTTTGCCTGCCTCCCAAAGTAAAGAGTATTTGGGGAACCTCAGTGTTGGTCGCACAGCCAGAAACCAATTTCCACAATTTTCCACTGCTCTCATTTTGCAGGAAGACTTTAGCTTTATGGAGGAGAAACCAGAGGCCTCTGAGCAGTTGCCATTTGTCTATGTTGCCTCCTGTGGGTCTCAGCCAGACTCTAGTGTTGCCAGAATTACCTCCAATAAGTGTCAGCAGATTTTCAAGTCCATCTGAGAAGATTAAGCAGTTCTCCAGCTTCTTCCCACACCCACCTCCCCAAGTCACCCTGTGCATTGCTGTTTACTTACTTTGTTGAGGCTTAACTTTGGCCTTCTCTTGTAGATGACACAGCTAGTTCTGAAACACATGGAATCAAGGTAAGGCCTTTTTTTGAAAAGGAGTAGAGTGGCAAGGTCTCCCTTGTCTGGCAGTCGGGCTCAGAGCCTGGGGGGATTGAGTTCATCTGGCTGCTACTTTAACAAATGATAAAACTATGATGAAAGGACATTGAGATTACAGGAAAAGAACCACAATCTGAGCCAGGCCAGCTTTGCAAACAGATAAGCATATTGGAAGGTCAAATGTAACATATACTGGAGGGAAGAGGAGAACAGCAGACTCAGCACACATTGTATTAAAAAAAAATTAACTTATGTTGAGCATAAAAGAAACTTCAGAAGTTGGCCTGAGACCACGACCATCTCTTTGTTATTATGAATTTCAGCTCTTGTCAGAATGAATACTGCAATTTAGTGGTAAAAATCACCACCCCATCAGTGCCTCCATTTATTCCATGTTTTTATCACTCTATTACAACACCCATTTGGGAGCTGTTTGTGTGTGTGTGTGTGTGTGTGTGTGTGTGTGTTTTCAGATGGTATTCATTAAAAGCAAATGGTCGATAGTTTTATCTTCCCTAGAGGAAGAAGGGGCTTGGCTGTGGATTCTAAAGTGCAGTTTCTTGGTTTTTCTGAATTGAACCCATTTCATTGGGATGAGTTAAAGATTTAAATTTCAAAAGGGTATTTAAGGACCCCAGAGGCTTGTGCGGGGTGCCTGTGTGAGCAGATGATGGGCTGTCAAATTCCACCCAGGACACATGGCATCTGTCTTGTTGTGGGTCATTTTTATGATTTAGAAGGGATCTTGAGCTTCCGTGGCCACATTTGAGAGAGAAAGAGCTCTTCCCCCGATCTTGTCTGAGCTCAGCCGGTTTGCTGGATTTCGGTGGGGGAGCCTTTATTGCAGCAGCGCCCATTTCCAGTCACAAGCCCTGTTGTCAACTGACTGCCGAGCGACGTCGTTGCGAGGTGCCATAGCCCATGATGAAGGGAAGTTACGTTCCCAGTCCCTGAAGCAGAGCAGTTAGTGCATGTGGAAGCCTAGAGAGGATGGAGTCTCCCCAGTGTTCACACGAGCTCCTTTGTTTTCTTCCTTCTCAAGGTGTGATAAGCAGCAAAGTAACCAAAACTTTACTTCTTTGCCTTTTAGGCAGAAAGGGCTCATCTTGAACATTTCTTCTGGGATGGCCCTCTTTCCCTGGCCTCTATACTCCACGTATGCAGCTTCAAAGGTGAGTAATAACGTGTAGTTTGAGTCCCCTTCTCCTTCTTCCTCTTGTTTTTCCCAGTCGGCATTTTCCTTTGGATCATCTGACCAGCGGATGGACAGATCTGCCAGGAGGCACTGTTCTGTGTACAGGGTGGAGCTTTAGTCAGCAGGAGTTTGGGTGCAAATTGGGAGAAGGCGCTGCCACCACACTGACTGAGGCCTGCAGGCAAGCGCAGCTGGGCATGCACAGTCCCCTGGGGGCCTCCAGCCCTCACTCACCTCCTCCGTTTGGAGCTCTACTGCCTTCCTGTCAGCAAGTAACACTGGTTTCCTTCCTGCCCTCGAGGTCTAGCCAGGTGTTCCCAGGCTCTAGTCTTAAAAACGAACTCTCAGAGGAGGGGGTGCTCTACACAAGGCATAGCTCCCCCTGGTTTGGGTCACTTATGTGCAGTGGCCCGAGGTATGTATTTATCCCAAAATGTATGTTCCCACTGACTGAGGGAGCTCTTCTCAAACCAAGAAATGAAGTCCTAACTCCAATCAGGAAAAGCTGCTACATTTTAAGGTGAAGTGGTAATGCTCTCTTGGTGCCCTTTAACATCTGAGTAAGTTGGCTCTGATGGAGAAAGCAAGCTCTGGGTCCTGAGGTGTTTTTCCTCCTTGCTCCAGGCTTTTGTGTGCACCTTTTCGAAGGCACTTCAAGCGGAATACAAAGCAAAAGGAATCATCATCCAGGTGAGGTTAACAGTTCTGAGTCCATGGCAATGGGAACTCCAGATCCCCATTGAGCTGGGGCCACTGCCCCCTGCAGGACTGGTGGTGCAAGCGCAGCCAGGAGGAAGGTGATCTGGACAAGCTCCTGCGACCATTGCTGTGGCCTCTGTGCCACCTTGGTACCACCTGCTGCCGACCTCCCCCATGCCCTGGGTGCTAAAGTAGGAATTGGGGCAAGGTAATTGAGCTCTCAGAATGCTGTCGACCCTTTTGCTACCTGATGCGGCATCACGACAGAAAATGGGGTCCTGTTGACCATCCTCCACTCTCTGATAGAGGTACAGAGGACAGGCTTATGCGGGAGGAACGGCGGAGGGGGAACAGAACACTGGGCACTCAGTCCATGTTGGAAGGAATGGGGGCCTCCCTTGCGGGCTGTTCACCTGTGGTGGCCACAGAGCAGCTCACACTCGGGTTCCTGAGCAGTCGGGGAAGAGGTGCTCTGCTTCCCCTTTCACCAGCAATGACAAGGCCGCTGTGGAGGTGACCCCCTAAGCGTAAAGGGATTGGGTTGTCACTGTTGTCTATAGACTGAACAATATGACATCTTGAGCTATCAGTGGCATACATGTGGTTGGTTCAGCAACACAGAGTCAACTGGCTTCTAGAACCTGGAATAAAAAGTTCAGAGAGGTTTTTTGTTGTTGTTGCTTGGGAAGAAAGTGTATGACATACTATCGGAAATGAAAAAGGCACATTTGCAATGATATCTTTAAAATTATTGGCATGCATACTGATTTTCAATGAACATGCTCAGGTGAGACCATCTCAGGTGGCTATTCTTATAAATTAACCAGCTATAGGATAAAGCTTATTCAAAAGGCATATCTGAATTAATGGTGAGAACTTTGCAAATAACATCAACTTCCCAGCCATAGAAATGGAACTAGACCACAGTGCTGTTCTTTGCCTTGGTGAACTAAAACCTCATCTGTGAGATATTTTTCTTCCCTATCTCTCTTCCAACTCTCAGCTGAAGACAGATTCCTTTTGCAAAAGCACTATCCCATACAGGCTGTTTGCTGAGTAAAAAAATAACCCTTAAAATCTCACTGACTTAAAACCACAGAGATTTATTTGTCATTCATGATGCATCATTCACTGTGAGCCACCCAGGGGGGGTCAGCTAATAATAGTTATGCAGACACACAGGCTGATGGAGTTTTTGGATATCCATTTTGGATATCATCAGTTGACATGCCAGAGAAAAAGTGGTAGGAGTTCTAGAGGATCTTGGTTTGATAATTAAAGACTCTGGCTCAGAAAGATGTGTCACTTTTGCTTATACTCACTGACCAGATGTGGCCACATGGACCCACCCAACCACAGGAGACCAGGAAGTGCAATTCTATCATGTGTATGAGGGAAAAAAAGAACTAGAAATAGTTGGTGAACAACACTAATGATTGCTAGAGCTACTTGCTTACTAGCCGTGTGAATGTGACAGTCTTAGTCTCATCTTGATCTTGATAACTGTGGTCCAGAGATGCTGTGACTGCCAAATTAGTGGGTTCTTCAGGGCAGTAGGGGTGGGAGTGGGTCAGACAGGGAAGGGAGCCCCTCCCTTGGTGCAGAAACTTTGGCGCTGCTCTCCTAGCAAGTATGAGGTGAAAAGACTGTGATCTTTCAGAAATCAACTGGCCTCTCCAAACACTTAAGTAATTGGTGCTCAATAAATAAAAATTTGTTAAATGAGCAAGGAAGTATGAACTACATAGACTTGAGTTTGATTTTCAAATCCCAGCTTGGCCTCTTATCATCTGAATGATCCTGGAAAACTTGCTTAAATTTCATGAGCCTCAGTTTCCCATCTGTAAAGAGGGTTTTACAATACCTGTCTACTTCTCTAGGTTATTACAAAGATCTAATGAATGACCAGGTATACAAGTTTCACCACTATTTTCTACAATAAGGTGTTTTGTCTGCCAAATCTCACCATAGGGATGAAAATACTTATTATTTTAATACCTGGAAATGGGTTGGGAATACATGCTCCTATATCTCTCTAAGAGTAACACTTTGAGATCTTTGGAGGAAAAGTGTTATGCACATTAATGGCTGCATTCATTTCCATGAGAACAAATTCAATTAGATTGATTGATTCATAATTAGATTCAGTTATGCACGATGTCATTTCAAGTGCAATGTGAAGAGAATGTGATATGACACAAATCGCCAATGTGATTTGAAGAAAAAGAAAACAACAGCAAAAAGAACCAAACCAAGCATGGATCTTTTTTCTCTCTAAAGATGCTGCCAAGGTCTGCATGAATAAAGTAAGAAACCCCATGCCAGGCCACCAGGTGGTGAGACCATGGGTAGAAACGCGATGTTGGATTTGGAGGATACGATGTGTGGCTGGTTTATTTTTCTTACGAGAACTGGACAGATTATGAGATCTGTGCCTCTCCTGGCTCCTAACAGAAGTGTGCAAGTGGGAACCCAACTGCTTTAAATTGCTCCAGCTTTGGCTTATAGGTTAGAAATAAACTTCTGAGATAGCATTGCCAGATAAAATACAGGGGAGCCAATTAAATTTGAATTTCAGATAAACAAGTACATTTTTAAATGTAAGTATAGCTCATGGAATACTTGGGACATAATTATACTGAATTATTTTGTTGTTGTTTTCTTGGATTCAGTTTATCTGAGTGTCCTGCACTTTTATTTTCAAAGTCTGGCAACTGTGTTCTAAGAGATGCCTCGTGTCCTCAGTCAGCCATTTGAACCAGTTGGTGGTGTGTGGCTAAGGCCTCCCCTTGAGTTAGTGGCAGGGTGGAGCTAGAAACCTGATTGCCCGCTCTGTGCCAGTTCTGTGCCTTTTCAATGCTCCCTTGTCGTTTTGGATCCTGAAACTTTTTCAGGAAGAGCAGAGTTGGAAAATAAAGGGATGGTGAAATTTGGATTCATTTTTCAGGGTTGGGCAGATTGCTCCGGAGTTATAGCTTTATTTCCCATTGCAGGTGCTGACCCCATATTCTGTTTCAACCCCAATGACAAAGTGTCTCAATACCAGCCTCATAACCAAGACTGCTGATGAGTTTGTTAAAGAATCACTAAATTATGTCATGATTGGAGATCAAACCTGCGGCTGCCTCGTCCATGAAATCTTGGTAATTGATAACTAACTTCTCCTTTCTTGAAGCAAATGAGGACAGGTACGCAGGTGGCCCTCTCAGAGTTGAGGTAACTCTTCCTTGCTATTGGAGGCCTGGGTTCTCAGCCTATAAATAGCCTCCAAGTGAGCAAATCTCACCCTTGGCTGCATCCCTTTTCCCCTCAGAGGGTAAAGTGGCTCCCAGAGCTCCTGGGAAGAGTTGACCAAGACACAGGGAGCTTTTCTGTGGGGCTGCTGTCATCTCTGATCCTCTGGGTTTGTAAATAATTACTCTCTGGCTCTCCAGAAAAAACTAAAACAAAACACCTTGATTTGTAGCATTTGTTGATTTCCATTATTTAAGTCCTCCCAGATGGTCGATTTTAAGCTTCCAGTGTGTTGTCAGTGCACAATGAATTTAGGAGTGTGTGTGACGGGTTTTTGTGAGAGGTGCAAGCTGGTTCCTGCACACCGTGGACTCCATCAAATATGGAAATGGGGTTTAATGGCCTGCATCCCCAGCAGTCCTCTCCTTTCCTGGGCCACTTTTAGAAACAAAAAACAAACATGAAACAAAGGTAAATGTGAATATTGCATGCTAATAGTGAAAACAAATAGAGTTTCCATGTAGTTCTGTTTCTAGCATCACCAAAAAATTTTAAACATCTTTTCCTGCAATCTCATTTTAATAGAGCCTTGGTAGAAAGAAAATGATGATGCTGGGAGATGGAGCACCAGGAAAAGAAAGTGCTCACTAAGAGAAAGAATCAGGGGAAGGTGTTTTACCATGGACATGGTTCTCTTAATTTAGAATTTCCTCAGGGCTGATCCTATAAGCGACTGTTTTGGTTTCTGAGAAAACCTTGTTTGCTGAGAAAGTGTCACAAAACCTTTATACTTTGGCAACTACAGTTATGCACTGTATAATTATGTTTCTGTCAACAACAAGCCACATATATGATGGTGGTCCCATAGACTACAATGGAGCAAAGATTAAAATTGCCATTGCTGAGTGACTGGTAGCTATCATAGTGTTGTAGCAGAACGTATCGTGTATTTATGGTGATGCTGGTGTGAACATACCTACTGTGCTGCAATTTATATAAAAGTGTAGGACATACAATTATCTGTAGTGTATATCACTTGATATGATGAAAGTAACTATGTTAATGGTTTATGTATTTACTGTATTATACTTTTTATTATTTTTTTTAAGGCATGCTCTTCCTACTTATAAAAAGTCTGCTGTGTTACAATGGCAGCCACCTTTTACATCTTGTGTTTGCCACGTCTCTTGAGTGCATTTTTTCTTGTGCTTGAGTTAACTTTGTGTTGTTTTGTTCACCGTGGCTCCTAACGGTACAAAACACATATTAATATGGCCAGTTAAGAGGCCACTTTGAGTGATTGACCTAGAAATGAAATTAACTGTGATTAAGGACTACGAAGGTGGAAAATCAGTAATGGTTATTGTTTGCCAGTCAGGCATGTCCCATTCCACCAGAGCTACGATCTTGAAGAGCAAGAACAAGTGATGGGAGCTGTTAAAGGATCTGCTTTATTGAAGGCACCAAGACAACAAATTGAGAGGAGAGTATATCACACAAGGAGAGACTTCCAATGACCTGGATGAAGACTGGACACAGAAGCATATACCTTCCAGAACCATGATGATCATGGCCTAAGACAAACATCTGTGATGTTGAAAGAAAAGGCTGCATCTAACTATGATGTTGAATTTACTGCTAGCTCTGGGTGTTTTAAATAATTCAAGAATCATTATTCATAACATAATGTGAAAGAGAGCGGTGAATCTGCAAGTGCTGCTCTGAAGACAATGAAGAATTCTGGTAACTCTAGATAAGCTGATTGTGGAGGAGAATTACTTGCCAGAGCAACTATTCAGTATGGATGAAATGTCCCTGTTTTGGAATGGATGCCCAAAAAGACTTCCATCCACAGGGAAGTAAAGTCAATGCCAGGCCTCAAGACATTTAAGGACAGAATAGCAGTCTTGCTTGGGGGCAATGTCACAGGCTACAAACTGAAACACTGTTCAGTCTGGCACAATGAGAACTCCAGGGCCCTCAACGTGTCAGTCAGCACACACTGCCAGTGCACTGCAGGGGCAACAAGAAGTCCCAGGGGATCCAGCTTCTCTTCCAAGATGCCCTCCTTAATGGCTATCCAGCAAAATGGAGAAGTACTTTTTGGAGAATAACATACTTTTCAAGATTTTGCTTATTGTTGACAATGTCCCCTGATATCCTACTTTTATTGGCAATCTTCATCCTAATAATAATATTAATATTATTAACAATATTATATGAATAATAATAATAATATTGGCATCTCTCCCTCCAAACACAACCTCTTTGATCCAACCAATGGATCAAGGAGTTATAGCAGCTTTTAAAACCTCCTACCTGAGGAGGGCCCTTGCCCAGGCTATTGCTGCAACTGAGGAAGACACTGATGCAATTTTGGAAAAATTACATCTTTGACTGCATCAAGAACCTTGCTTGGGCTTGGGGTGCTGTCACCAAGGAGCGTATAAATGGCACCTGGAAAAAACACTAAAGAAGTTCTCCCAGGGCTTCAAAGGATTTGCCAAGAATGAGGAGGGTGCAAAATCAACAAGGCTGTGGTTGAGAGGGCTAACAACTTTAACCTGGGTGTGAGGATGACAACCAGGAGCTCCTAGAGGGGGTTCCCAAAGAATTTACTAATGAGGAGTTGCTGGAACTGGGACAGGAATGCATAGCTTAAGACCACACAAGGGAAAAGGAAACTGCAGGAGGAGAAAAAGAACCTTCAAGAAAACTCACAGTGAGGAGTTTAGCAGAAGTTTTGCAGACCTCAACAAGCTCCTGATAAAATTTTTAATTAAAAATACACCAAAAAGTTTTTATTTATAGAGAGGAATGTTCATGTTGCACTATCTGCTTATAAATATATATATGATGAAAAAAAGAAACAAATTAAACAAAACACCATGGACATACTTCCAAAAAGAGTGACAGTTCCTCAAGAGGAGCCTGGGCAGGTCCTTCAGAAGTTATTCTAGAAGAAGGCATTGTTTTCATAGGAGACGACAGCTCTATGCGTGTTATTGCCCCTGAAGACGTTCCAATGGGACAAGATATGCAGGGGAAGACAATGATAGTAAGGATTCTGACCCTGTGTAGGCTGGGCTAATGTGTGTGTTTGTATCTTCGTTTTTAACAAAGAAAGTTTAAAAAGCAAAATAAGAACTTTTAAATTTAAAAATAGGAAAATGCTTATAGAATAAGGATATGAAGGAAGAAAATATTTTTGTACAGCTGCAAAATGAGTTTGTGTTTTAAGCTAAGTGTTACTACAAAAGAATTGAAAGATAAAAGAAACTGAAAAGTTGACTAAGTGAAAAAGTTATGGTAAGCTAAGTTTAATTTATTATTGAAGAATGAAAATTTAAAAATAAATTTAGTGTAGCTTAAGTATACAGTGTTTATAAAGTCTACAGTAACATACAGTATTGTCCTAGGCCTTCTAATTCACTCAGTACCCACTGAATCACCAAGAGCAACTTCTAGTCTTGCAAGCTCCATTCATGGTGAGTGTCCTGTATAGATGTAGCATTTTCATCTTTAAGACTGTATTTTAACCATATTTAAAATTTTAAAATGTACGTTTTCTATGTTTAGATAGGTTTAGATATACAAATACTATCGTGTTATGATAGCCTACAATATACAGGACAGTAATATGCTATACTGGTCAGTTGCCTAGGTGCAATAGGCTATAACATACACCCCAGGTGGGCAGTAGGAGATACCATCTAGGTTTGTGCAAGTGCACCCTGTGATGTTTGCACAATGATGGAATCATGTAATGGTACGTTTTTTAGAATGTGTCCTTCTGGTTAAGTGACACATCACTATACTAGAAGATTTTGGGACTTCTGCAGTGAGAAAAAACATTTAAAAAATGATGAATATAAACTGAGATGTTTTAGTTATAACTTCCGTGCTCTTTTTCTCACCCAGACACTCATGTTTTTGTCTATTTAAGGCAAGCTTTCTGACCCTGATTCCATCGTGGGCCATCTACAGCAGCATGTTCAAGAAGCTACTCCTGATTCACTACACCAACTACCTTAAGCGGAACACCAACATCAGTAGTGCAGGTGGAGGGATGGGCCATCCAGCATCATTTTCTTCACCAAGTTCTTCATTGGCTACCAAAGACCAAGAAGCAGACCATCACCCATCACCCCTTGAAGCTGGAGGGCCATGCCATAGATACAGTACTTAGAAAATACAGCTTTTGTGTCATTTTGCTCATGTTAAAATTGAGGACAAGTGAAGACTGGCCTTGAAAATTCCCTGGGCAGAAAAAGCCAGTTTACTCATACAAACAAAAAATTTAATTTAGCTTATTTTGTAAGACTAGTGATGGGATTCAGGGCAGGCTGCCCCAAAATGTGTCACTTTGGCATATTGATTATTTTGAATTAAAGTTTCTTAAGGAACAGCAAGAACATTCTGACCCTTATTTGTCCCTGTGTAATAGGAAATATTGTTGTGACCATCTTTGGAAAATACAACGAGCCACACAAATTAATCTCACTATAAGTGTTTGTCTTGGCATGTGCCAATTGTGAGAAATCACTTGGCATTTCAACTACTGATGGAGCAATTTATAAAAGTGTAGACATTGTGTTTCTAAACCATCACATCAAATCCTGGTAAATTTGCCTTGGGGGAAGAACTTCCACAACCAGCAGCTTAAGTGAGAAAAGAAATGTACTTTAGCTTGTATGGCCTGGGTCAGATTTTAGAAATAATTTTTTAGTTGTGTGACATAGGAGTTTTCCTAATATATTAATCCTGGCTTGATTTGAATGACTGTCTACAACCTTTTTAAGGGTCTTTAAATTAAGAGAGAATTTCCTCAAAATAAAGGCCCCAGGATGTTGGACTGGCTTATGAAACAAGGGTAGAAAAGCTCTATATTTTAAGATTTTTATACCCATCACCACTAGCACTAGATAATAGTAAACATTTGTTACACACTAATAATGTGTCAGGGACTATGTAAATCCTCATAACTTAGAAAGTAGGGATTATTACTATTATTGCCTTCATTTTACAGATGAGGAAACTGAGGCACATAAAAAACTGAGTAACTTGCAAAGGTTCACCTGATCAGTGAGTGGGAGAGCTGGGATTTGAACTTGGGTCATCTTCCAGCATACGTAAACTAAGGCACCACAATAGAGCCCTACCTGTCTGGGATGAGGTTCTTTAATTGGACTTAATGGAAATGGGTGAGCCCTATTTCCCCCAATTCTGTATTTTTCACTTTCATATGTTGTGAAGAGAGGTGAGGAATTGGGTTTTGCAGCCAGGCCCACGTGTCTCCACTCAACACTGACCACTTTCCCAATATACCATTGTCTGGGAATCATTTCAGAATGGGGAGGCTTGCCAAATTTCACTGAACTTTTGTTCCTGCTGAGGAATACTGGGCTCTTGATTCTCTTCTTTTTGTTTGGAGGGTGTGGGACCCCAAGGAACAGCATCCACAGCTGGTCATTTTGATAGAAGCATTCACTTTCTGTCCTTCCAGCCTTCCATCTGTGCTGCCTCCCCGCATGCCAAAAGCCAGGGATCCCTCTGACAGCACTTGGAGCAGGGAAGTAAGGTGATTATGGGCTGCTGCTCTGAAAAAAAGTTGGAAGCTGTTGCTGCGGCTGTTTCCTGGTGTGTCATTTTTTTCTTGTTCTCATGGGATGGGAACCAGAATGCCCTACTTCAAAAAGACTCCTTTAGCTAATCCTTGCCAGGAAAAGCTGAAGACGGTCATCCCAGGGTCAGCATGATTTTAATCATCCTTGTCTGCTTCTGATGCCAAAAACAAGATGATTATTCTCACTGTAGTTTATCCACTGTGCTTGGGACTTAGCCTGGCTTGACTTGCTAGTGCCCTCTAATGGTCTGGGAGAGAGAGCCTGTTGGGTCTTTCTATCTAATCTTGCAGGAATTTTAGAACAGAATCCAATCTGGGGAAAGAAATCCCTCAAAAAAAATTTTAGTCCTTTTTAAATAAATAGAGATATAATTGACATATAACATTATATTGGTTTCAGGTGTTCAGGTGTATAACATAATGATTCGATGTCATATTTTGCAAGAAAATTACCACAAGTATAGATAACATCCATCACCACACATGGTTACAATTTTTTGTTCCTGTGATGAAAACTTTTAAGATCTGCTCTCAACAACTTTCAAATATACAATAAAGTATTATTAGCTATAGTCACCATGCTGTGCATTATTTCCCCAGGACTTACTTATTTTATACTGGATGTTTGTACATTTTGACCATCTTCACCCATTTCTCTCACACTCCCTACCCTCTGCACCCCAACCTCTGGTAACAACCAATCTGTTCTCTGTATTGTTGTTGTCATTGTTTTTAGATGCCACAGATAGGTGAGATCATATGGCACCTGTTTTTCTTCGTTCTGGCTTACTGGTCTTGGCATAATGCCCCCAAGGGCCATTCGTCAAAAAAAATTTTTTTTTCGAGATACCTTTGAGTGTATGTAGGGGAGTCATCAAGAAAGAAAGAAAAGGGGGCATTCGGAGAAGAGAAATGGAGTTGTCTGAGTTTCACATACTCTGACAAGGTGGCTGACAACCGGCCAGGACACCTAGCCTTTTTGGACTCTGGTTACATTACCAGTAAAATTAAAGTTTGATTACATGGTCTATAATTTTCTCTTCAGCTCTTATAGTCTATACATTTCAAGTAAGTTTTGGAAATAAACTTTCTCAATCTTTAAAAAATAATTTCATTGATTATAAACATATATTCAGTAGGAAATATAATAATTATAGAAGAAAACAAAAATTGCCATTTCTTTCACCGCCTGATAGTAAGTATTCTTCATTGATTGCTGATTTTCTTTTATACATTTTCTGTGTGTGAGTGAGTGTGTGTGTGTGTGTATCTAAGTGCATATTTTACATTTTGTCTTTTCCCTTAATATTACAGCATAAGATATCTTGGTGTTGTAAAGTGTTCAGAAGATGATTTACAATGGTCACTTAATACTTATTCATATGACTGAATGTAATGTATTTTACCATCCTTTTTGCATTTAGGTACTTTCTGATTTTTATAATCTTATAAATAACATACAATCTACATCTTTGCATGTGCATTATCTCCTTGTGGTTTGAGTATTTTTATAGTGGTTTTATTAATTTCCATGCTATACAATTCACCCATTTAACATATACTCCCTATTATTTTTATTACATTCATGGAGTTGCACAAACATTGCCACAGCCAATTTTAGAACATTTCATTACCCAACACAGGAACCTCAAACCCATTGGCAGTCACTCCTCGTTGCACATCCCCTTTCCCGAGCTCCAGGTGACACCTAATCTACTTTATGTCTCTGTGGATTTTCCTATTCTGGACTTTTAATATAACTGTAATCATATACTATGTAGATTTTTGTTATTGGCTCCTTTCACTTAGTATAATGTTTTCAAGGTTCATCCATGTTGTAGCATGTATAAGTACTTCCATTTTTTTCTGAATAATATTCTATTGTATCGATAGGACATATTTATCAGTTCATTAGTTGTTTAACATTTAGGTTGTTCCCATTTTGGGGGCTACTATGAATTATGAAGCTATGAGCATTCATTTACAAGTTTTGCGTGCATATATGTTCTCATTTCTTTTGGGTATATACCTAGGAATGGAATTGCTTGGTCTTATGGTAACTTTATCTCTCAACTTTGGAGCAACTGCCAAGCTGTCTTCCAAAGCGGCTATACTGCCCTGGCTGGTATGGGTTAGTTGGTTGGAGAGTTGCCCTGTAACCAAAAGGTTGAGGGTTCAATTCCCAGGCAGGGCATGTGGCTAGGTTGCAGGTTCGATCTCCCACCTACCTGTGCAATTCCCGGACTGGATGCCTACAGGAGGCAACCAGTCGATGCTTCTCCCTTGCATCAATGTTTCTTTTTCTCCCTTTCTTTCTTTCTTTCTTTCTTTCTTTCTTTCTTTCTTTCTTTCTTTCTTTCTTTCTTTCTTTCTTTCTTTCTTTCTTTCTTTCTTTCTCTCTTTCTTTCTTTCTCTCTTTCTTTCTCTCTTTCTTTCTCTCTCTCTTTTCTTTCTCTTCTTTCTTCTTTTCTCTTTCTTTCTCTTTCTTTCTCCCTTTCTTTCTTTCTCCCTTTCTTTCTTTCTCTCTTTCTTTCTCCCTTTCTTTCTTTCTCCCTTTCTTTCTTTCTCTCTCTTTCTTTCTTTCTCTCTCTCTCTCTTTCTTTCTTTCTTTCTTTCTTTCTTTCTTTCTTTCTTTCTCTTCCTTCCTTCCTTCCTTCCTTCCTTCCTTCCTTCCTTCCTTCCTTCCTTCCTTCCTTCCTTCCTTTCTTTCTTTCTTTCTTTCTTTCTTTCTTTCTTTCTTTCTTTCTTTCTTTCTTCCTCTTTCGCTAAAAGTAATGAGAAAAATGACCTCTGGTGAGGATAAAATATATATATCTCCCAAAGTGGCTAATACTATTTTTACATTACCTCCAGCAAAGTATGAGGGTTCCAATTTCTCGACATTCTCACCAACAGTTGTTCTTATCTGTCCTTTTGATTATAGCCATCCTAGTGTATGTGAAGTGCTATCTCATTGTGATTTTGGCTTCCATTTCTCTGGTGACCAATGATGTGGAGCATCTTTTTAGGTGCTCATTGGCCATTTCTCTGTCTTCTTTGGAGAAATGAATACTACAATTGTTTGTCCATTTATAAAAGATGTCGTTTTTTATTGATGTGTGTGCGTCTTTATATTTCTGATTTTTTTCCCTGAAGTGGGATTTCTGGATAAAAACATCTAAACATTTTTTTAGAGTTACTGGTGCTTATTACCAAGTTGTTTCTATGTATAAATGTATACCTCCATCTTCAGCAGTGGTTCTCAACACAGGGTGTGATTTTTTCCCTGACGGGAACTTTTGTAATGTCTGAAGACATTTTTGATTATCCCAGCTCAGGGAAGGAGGGTGCAACTGAAAGGAGATCTCTTTCGCTCTCTCTTTTTTTTTTTATCCTCACCCAAAGACATTGTTTCATTGTTTTTAGAGAAAGAGGAAGGGAGAGAGGAAATGTGAGAGAGAATCATGATGCAAAAGAGAAGCATTGATTGGTTGCCTCCTGTATGCACCCGGACCAGGGAAGGAGCCCACAATCCAGGTATCTGCTCTGAGTGGGAATTGAACTCACAACCTTTCAATTACAGG